TGTGTAGTGTGTGATTGTACGAGTGGTATGTCATTGTACGGAGTGTGTGATTGTGGGGATTGTGAATAGTGTGTGATTGTGCGTGGTGTGTGATCGTGTGCCGCGTGTGTGATTGTGTATAGTGTGTGATTGTGCGTGGTGTGTGGTTGTGTGCGTGGTGTGTCATTGTACGGAGTGTGTGATTGTGGTGATTGTGAGTAGTGTGTGATTGTGCGTGGTGTGTGGTTGTGTGTGTGGTGTGTGATTGTGTGTAGTGTGTGATTGCGTGCGTAATGTCGCTGGGAGTTGTGACCGTGTGTGCGAATGATTGCGAAATGCGCGTGGTTGTGTGATTGTCAGTGTGATTGTGTATTATGATTGCGCGTGTGTGTGATTGTATGTGTGTCTGATTATATGATTGCGAGCGTGTGATTGTCTTTGGCCTGTGATCCCATGCTCGTGTGTGTCTGTGTGATTCAATACTCGAGTGTGTGATTCCATGTTCGTGTGTGTGTGATTGCATGTTCGTGTGGGTGTGTGATTCCATGTTCGCGTGTGCGTGTGTGATCCCATGCTCGCGTGTGTGTGTGTGATTCTATGCTCGTTTGTCTGATTGTATGTTCGCGTGTGTGTCAGTGCGTGTCAGTGTATGTGAGTTTATGTATATGTGAGTGTGTGTGAGTATGTGTGAGTATGTCTGAGTGTGTGTATGTGTGAGTGTAATCCCATTCTCGCGTGTGTGTGTATGTGTGAGTGTGTGTGTGAGTGTGTGTATGTGTGAGTGTGTGTGAGTGTGAGTATGTGTGAGTGTGTGTATGTGCGAGTGTGTGTATCTGTGAGTGTGTGTGAGTGTGTATGTGTGAGTGTATGTATGTGTGAGTGTGTGTGTATGTATAAGTGTATGTGAGTGTGAGTATGTATGAGTGTGTGTATGTGTGAGTGTGTGTGTGAGTGTGTGTATGTGTGAGTGTTGTCATGTGTGAGTGTGTGTGAGTGTGTGTGAGTGTGAGTATGTGTGAGTGTGTGTATGTGTGAGTGTGTGTATGTGTGAGTGTGTGAGTGTGTGTATGTGTGAGTGTGTGCATATGTGAGTGTGTGTGAGTGTGTGTGAGTGTGTGTGAGTGTGTGTGAGTATGTGTGAGTGTGTGTATGTGTGAGTGTGTGTATGTGTGAGTGTGTGAGTGTGTGTATGTGTGAGTGTGTGCATATGTGAGTGTGTGTGAGTGTGTGTGAGTGTGAGTATGTGTGAGTGTGTGTATGTGTGAGTGTGTGTATGTGTGAGTGTGTGTGAGTGTGTGTATGTGTTTGTGTGTGTATATGTGAGTGAGTGTGTATGTGTGAGTGTATGTGTGTATGAATGTGTGAGTATGTGTATGCATGAGTGTGTGTGTATGTGTGAGTGTGTGTGAGTGTGTGTATGTGTGAGTATGTGTGAGTGTGTGTGAGTGTGTGTATCTGTGAGTGTGTGTGAGTGTGTGTACGTGTGAGTATGTGTGAGTGAGTGTGTGTAAGTGTGTATGTGTGAGTGTGTGTATGTGTGTGTATGTGTGAGTATGTGTATGTGTGTGAGTGTGTGTATGTGAGTGTGTGTGTATGTGTGAGTGTGTGTGAGTGTGTGTATGTGTGAGTATGTGTGAGTGTGTGTGAGTGTGTGTATCTGTGAGTGTGTGTGAGTGTGTGTACGTGTGAGTATGTGTGAGTGAGTGTGTGTAAGTGTGTATGTGTGAGTGTGTGTATGTGTGTGTATGTGTGAGTATGTGTATGTGTGTGAGTGTGTGTATGTGTGAGTGTGTGTATGTGTGTATGTGTGTGTATGTGTGTATGTGCGTGTGACTCTATGCTCGTGTGTGTGTCAGTGCGTGCTTGTACCTCTGCACAAACACTCGTGCCGTGGCATCCCCCCCCCCTTTGCCCCCCCCCCCCCCCGCTCACTGTAAGACCCCGCGAGTGAGTGGAGCTAACCACCCCACAACGTTGCCTGAACGTCGTGGCAACGTCTCACCCCCCCCCCCCCCCGCTAAATACGTGCGTGTTCGCGCGTGTACGACCCTGAACTCCGAGACTCTTCCGACATCAAAGATTTCTCTCTCTCCAAGGGGCGGGGCGCGTTGATGGGGAGCGGGGGGGTGGGGGGAGGAGATTGGGCGAGGGGGTGGGGAGAGGTGGCGGCGGGGGGGGGGGCACGTGGCGGGGGGGGGTTAGAGGGTCGCGGCGGTGGGAGGTGGGGCATAGGAGGAGTGGGGGGGGGGCAAGTTAACTTAATGGGTGGGGGGGGGGGTAATTGTGAGAGAGGTTTGGTATTAAGGCATGAGGATGAGAAGGGCTGGGTGGGTGATGGTGGGGGTGGGTGGGTGGGGGGGGCTAAGGTTTAGGGAGGTATGGGTTGGGGCGAGGGATGGTGGAGAGGAGGAGGAGGAGGTGGGTGGGTGGGTGGTGGGTGGGGGGGGAGAGAGAGGCAATAGGGTTTTTCTGCTGAATATTGATTGTTCAGCTAATTACCCCTTCCCGTCGTGCCTCGGTAATGAGCACATGCGCACTGGCTGCTCTCGGCCATTTTGCACGCAGGAGCGAGCGAGAGAGTGGGGAGGAAAAAAAAATCATCAAACCCAATAGTGTTGGGAGGATTCACATCTTCCCCCCACTCAGTTCACGTGCCGGTCGCGCTCTGGGACGCGTCGCGCTGAGACCACCGAGGGCTCTTCCCGCCCCGTCACCCGGCACGGGACCCGTGCGAGCGGGCACCATGGCCAGAGCTCGGAGTCGTCGGCATCGTCTCTAGCGCCCAAGGACGTGAAGATCCATGCGCACACGAGAGTAAGTTTTTTTTATTCGGCTACTCTCTATTTACGTGTCTCTCTCTCGCTCTCTGCCTCGTCCTGTCTGCGCGTCTGTCTCTCGCTCTCTGTCTTCTTTTTTTTAACGCGTACCGATTAAGAGGGGTACGGATAGAAGAGCGGGATTTATTTTTTGTTCGTTGGCTCGGTTTGTGGGTTGATTGGGGTTTTCTAATTTTTTAAACGTAGAAATTGTTCGCTAGCCCGGGATTAAACTTGACCTCGCGAGCCCGTTTTACGCAATCGACGTCGCTGATGCTCACGGCGCGTTCGCGCCCGTCGTCCTGGACTAGATGAAGAAGATGATGAGGATGAAGAGGAAGGGGGGGGGGTGTTTAGAATACGTACATGTCGTCGTTCGCTGCGTCCTCTGACGCTTCGATGCCATCCTCTCGGCCCGCTCCCCTCTGCTCTCCCCGGCTCGCTCTGTCAGCCCGTGGGGGTGGAGGGGTTTGCGCCTCCGCTGTTGAAGACTTCTCGCTCGTTCGCTCGCTCGCTCGCCGTGGCTCGCCCGCAAAGACGAGATGGGGGGGGGGGTAGAAGGCTCCGAGTTGTCTCCGCGGCGTCTCGAGCTTCGAGCGCGGCCGGCCAAGTCCGCGCGTGGCGAGGGGCGAGTCGCTGGAGGCGCGCACTCGCGCACGCACCCCGCGCGCACGCAGACACACATACACACAGACACACTCACACAGACACACTCACACAGACACACAGACACACTCACACAGACACACAGACACACTCACACAGAAACACGCGCGCACATAGACACACTCACGCGCGCACACAGACGCAGACACATTCACGCGCGCACACAGACACACTCACACAGACACACTCACACAGACACACGCGCGCACACAGACACACTCACACAGACACACTCACGCGCGCACACAGACACACTCACGCACGCACACAGACACTCACGCGCACACAGACACACGCACACAGACACACGCACACAGACACACTCACGCGCGCACACAGACACACTCACACAGACACACTCACACAGACACACACACACACAGACACACTCACACACAGACACACTCACGTGCGCCGACTCCACACAGAAGCGCTCCGTTGTGGTGCATCGAATCGCGCACAGACACACACACACTCACACAGACACACGCACGCACGGCAGTCACACGCGTGTAACGCTTATTCTTGTCAGAGAGAGAGAGACAATCTCACACACACCACTGCCTCTCTCTCGCTCTCACGCACTCACGCACAGGAGGAGGACACTTTGACCGGCACAAAACAGGGGCGCGCGAGGTACCGCCGAGTTCCTTGCGCGTAATTTGATCCCAGGTGCGGGCGGGCGGAGGGAGAGCGAACGGGGGGGGGGGAGCGCAAATCCGCTAAAGCGTCGCTCGCAGCGAGGCATAACGAGGATGGGGGGGTGGGGTGGACGCACCGAGCCCAGCCGCTCGTTCCCTAGCCCCGCCGGCCCTGTGCGCCAGCGCCGTGCGGCTTCGTGCGTGAGTGAGTGAGTGAGCGGTGGGTGTGGGTGGGGTGGGGTGGGTGGGTGGCTGAGTGGGTCTCGGGGAGGAGGAGGCGGGCGCCACGGGGCGGTCGGAGCGCGGAGCGGAGCGCCGGCCGGGATTTTTTGGCCTTGAGAAATCCCTCGTGGGATGCGGGGACAGGCGATGAAGGTGGTGGGTGTGGGTGGTGGTGGTGGAGGATGATGGAGGGAGGTGAGGCGGAGGGGAGGAGGGGAGATCCCTTGTTTAACCCTCTCTGACACAGCCATCACCGCATCACCGCCACCACCGCCGTCTCTCTCCTCATGCTATTTAACCCACTCGAATCCTCAGTCAACCTACACGTGCCCCCCCCCCCCAATCCAACCCCATTCAACCCCCCTCTCACCTAGCACGCTTCTCACCCTACCACCAACGCTGTCTCCCGAACACGGTGGCGCTTGCAGCGTGCGCGGCGTGAATCGATGATTCCAGCGAAGACTCCCAGTGTCTCGCACCCCCCTCGCCTCCTCCTCCTCCGCCTCTTCATCATCATCCTCATCATCATCCTCATCATCATCCTCATCATCATCCTCCTCTTCGGCTTGTCCATGCCCACCGAGGTATCTCGCATTATTAGCGTCGGGCGTCGGGGCTTCTCTCCTCCCGTCGCTGTTCATTGCCATAGCTGCTGCTGCCGCTGCCGCTGTTGCGAAAATTATGATGATGGTGGTGGTAATGAAGTGATCGCGGAGCTGGGTTAGCTCGCTAGTTAGTTGTAGAGAGGTGGTGGAAATCGTCGTGCCGGGGGGGGGGGACAATCGTCTCCGTGGCGCACAGCAGCGCCGCGCGCGCGCACGTGTCGTGCTAACAGTTGTAACTCGACCCGCCCGATCAATACGGATCTATAGTTAGCAGATAAAGTAAGTATCCCTCGGTGTTGTGCAGGAGGCACGCACGCACGTGGGAACAAGCGGTGGAGACGTGTGTGTGTGGGGGGGAGGAAGAGTCGTGGAGGGGAGCGGCCAAAACAATGTGACAATTTCTTTACTCGGGGATTGTTTTCATCCAATTGAGGGTCGATAGTTTTGGATATTGAGATCGTGGAGTGGGCCCTTGTATGCGACTTTCACGGTGTGCGCGTCGCCGCTGCTGCTGCTGTTGCTGTTGGCACGCTAAGGTTTGAACTTCCGACAAGAGAGTGGTGAATTTGTTATATTTTTGTTATTTTATTTAAGAAGTTAAGGAATCGGTGTATATATCAATTTTGTGTGTGTGTGTTAGCCGTCAGCTTGTGGACGTAGTCGTTGGCTTTAGCGGGCGTGCACGCGAGGGAGATGAACCCTCAGTGAAGTGTGCGATGATGAGACGCGAAGTCAACGCTGCACTCTGTGCACACCCACGAGTAAGTGGACACACCGGGCTCCGTCACACCACGTGTACACGTCACACCACGTGCACACGTTACAATCACACCACGTGCACACATTACACTACACGCACACTGTACCACCACGTACACACATCACATCACGCCACGTGCACACTGTCACACCACGAACACACACATCACACCAGGTACTCCCATCATACCACGTACACATTTCACACCATGAACACACGTTGTCACACGTGCATATACACATCACACAACACAGCCACTACGTGCACACACATCACACCACACGTACAGACAGACAAATCACACACACTGACGCACACTCACATCCCAGAACACAACACTGTAGACCACATACAAAGACAACCACACTATCATGCACGTCACGTCACACACACAACCACACATCACCAACATGCATACATACAGATACACAACACACAAACACATACCACACACACACACACTGTACACACATATATACACAATTATCACGCTACACTGACACGCATACATACATACATACACACATACATCACATATGACATGCATTACGCACACACATAAATCTCACACACACACATACCACACATTCACCACACATACCACACAGACATACGCACACACACACATCACACCAACCAGACACACATACGCCACACGCATGCATGCATACATGCGCAGAACACACACACACCACACATATATCACACCACAGATACAACATTACAGATATTACAAATAGAACACCACACACACATCGCTGACACTGTAGCGTGAATGCCTCCACACAGACACAACACAGGCACTCACTTGCATATTGCTATCAGCATCCCTGTTAAAACACACACAGCGACACACACACGAGCACACATGAACACACGCATACACACACAGACACACTGCACTGCTACATACACACACACAGACACACTACACACAGACACACTACACTATTACACACAGACACACTACACCATTACACACAGACACACTACACTATTACACACAGACACACTACACTATTACACACAGACACACTACACTACTACACACACTACACTATTACACACACACTTCACTATTACACACAGACACACTACACTATTACACACAGACACACTACACTATTAAACACAGACACACTACACTATTACACACAGACACACTACACTGTTACACACAGACACACTACACACAGACACACAGACACACTACACACAGACACACTACACTATTACACACAGACACACTACACTATTACACACAGACACACTACACTATTACACACAGACACACTACACTATTACACACAGACACACTACACTATTACACACAGACACACTACACTATTACACACAGACACACTACTACACACAGACACACTACACTATTACACACAGACACACTACACTATTACACACAGACACACTACACTATTACACACAGACACACTACACTATTACACACAGACACACTACACTATTACACACAGACACACTACACTATTACACACAGACACACTACACTATTACACACAGACACACTACACTATTACACACAGACACACTACACTATTACACACAGACACACTACTACACACAGACACACTACACTATTACACACAGACACACTACACTATTACACACAGACACACTACACTATTACACACAGACACACTACACTATTACACACAGACACACTACACTATTACACACAGACACACTACACTATTACACACAGACACACTACACTATTACACACACACCCTACACTATTACACACATATACACTGCACTATTACACACAGACACACTACACTACTACACACTACACTATTACACACACACACTACACTACTACACAGATACACACTACACTACTACACACAGACACACACTACACTACAACACACAGACACACTACACTATTACACACAGACACACTACACTACTACACACAGACACACTACACTATTACACACAGACACTACACTATTACACACAGACACACTACACTATTACACACACACACTACACTATTACACACACACTACACTACTAAACACAGACACACTACACTATTACACACAGACTCACTACACTGTTACACACAGACACTATACTATTACACACAGACTACACTATTACACACAGACACACTACACTATTACACACAGACACTACACTATTACACACACTACACTATTACACACAGACACTACACTATTACACACACTACACTATTACACACAGACACACTACACTTTTACACACAGACACACTACACTACTACACACAGACACACTACTCTACTACACACAGACACTACACTATTACACACAGACACACTACACTATTACACACACACTACACTATTACACACACACTACACTATTAAACACAGACACACTACACTATTACACACAGACTCACTACACTATTACACACAGACACTACACTATTACACACAGACACACTACACTATTACACACACACACTACACTATTACACACAGACACACCACACTACTACACACAGACACACTACACTATTACACACAGACACACTACACTATTACACACAGACACACTACACTATTGCACACAGACACACACACTGCACTATTACACACAGACACACTACACTATTACACACAGACACACTACACTACTACACACAGACACACTACACTATTACACACACACTACACTACTACACACAGACACACTACACTATTACACACACACTACACACTACACACAGACACACTACACTACTACACAGAGACACACCACACTACTACACACAGACACACTATACACAGACACACTACACTATTACACACAGACACACTACACTATTACACACAGACACACTACACTATTACACACACACTACACTACTACACACAGATACACTACACTATTACACACAGACACACTACACTATTACACACACACACTACACTACTACACACAGACACACTACACTACTACACACAGACACACTACACTACTACACACAGACACACTACACTACTACACACAGACACACTACACTACTACACACAGACACACTACACTATTACACACAGACACACTACACTACTACACACAGACACACTACACTATTACACACACACACTACACTATTACACACAGACACACTACACTATTACACACAGACACACTACACTACTACACACAGACACACTACACTATTACACACACTACACTACTACACACAGACACACTACACTACTACACACAGACACACTACACTACTACACACACACTACACTATTACACACAGACACACTACACTATTACACACAGACACACTACACTACTACACACAGACACACTACACTATTACACACACTACACTACTACACACAGACACACTACACTACTACACACAGACACACTACACTACTACACACACACTACACTATTACTCACAGACACACTACACTATTACACACACACACTACACTACACTACTACACACACACTACACTATTACTCACAGACACACTACACTATTACACACACACACTACACTATTACACACAGACACACTACATTATTACACACAGACACACTACACTATTACACACACACTACACTACTAAACACAGACACACTACACTATTACACACACACACTGCACTACAAAGATCCCCCGTATAGCCTGTGACAGACTTTTGTGGCAAGTGGCGTTAGCGAGCACCTATGAAGGCCGACACACCACACATACAAAGACAAAGATCCCCCGTATAGCATGTGACAGACTTTTGTGGCAAGTGGCGTTAGCGAGCACCTATGAAGGCCGACACACCACACATACAAAGACAAAGATCCCCCGTATAGCATGTGACAGACTTTTGGGGCAAGTGGCGTTAGCGAGCACCTATGAAGGCCGACACACCACACATACAAAGACAAAGATCCCCCGTATAGCATGTGACAGACTTTTGGGGCAAGTGGCGTTAGCGAGCACCTATAAAGGCCGGCACACCACACATACAAAGACAAAGATCCCCCGTATAGCCCGTGACAGGCTTTTGGGGCAAGTGGCGTTAGCGAGCACCTATGAAGGCCGACACACCACACATACAAAGACAAAGATCCCCCGTATAGCATGTGACAGACTTTTGGGGAAAGTGGCGTTAGCGAGCACCTATGAAGGCCGGCACACCACACATACAAAGACAAAGATCCCCCGTATAGCCCGTGACAGGCTTTTGGGGCAAGTGGCGTTAGCGAGCACCTATGAAGGCCGACACACCACACATACAAAGACAAAGATCCCCCGTATAGCCTGTAACAGACTTTTGGGGCAAGTGGCGTTAGCGAGCACCTATGAAGGCGCACACCACACCTGTTCAGCACAGCTTCGTCGTGACCTTTGGTAACGACTAAAGGAGGATGGTTGGACCCGTGCCATTATATCGCATTGCGCCTCATAGAGAATGTGTGTGCGTGTGTATATATGTATGTAGGTAATAGGGGCGAAACGGAATAACAAACGCTGCTGCTGCAGCGGTTATCATCGTAAACTTATCACCCTCGCGGATTTGCGTAAAAAAAAGTAACGTTTTAATTTAAAAAAAACCACAGCAAACACACAGGATCGTGATTGTAATTAGACCGGCGGGAGCGGTGACGCAGCAGTTAGCGCGCTCCGTTTGGAACCTCGATGCCGAGTTTGCTCTTCCCGGCCACGAACCGGTCCTGAGATGCTCCCCTCTTCATCTCCCCCTTAACACACGCCAAAGCCGTTGTACCGTACTCCTATGCTACCACGTCTATGCCCCCCCACCTCTCCCCACCACCCCAACCGACTCGCATCGTTCGACAACTGCCAGGGCCGCCACGGTGAATGGGGAGGAGGCCCACGTCCAGCAGTGGATTGAGAATGGGCTGGTGGTGTGGGTGGTGTTGGTGTTGTCTGGCTGGCCACCCACCCCCTCGGCCTTCATAGGTGCACGCTAGCAGCACT